TTAATATGAAATGTGGCCATAATAAACACCACGACCTGCCTTTTAGGTCTTTCCGCAGACTTGGTAGGTAGTGTGTCCATAGCAGAAATCGAATGATGATGATAATAATAATAATAATAATAATAATAATAATAATAATAATAATAATAATGTCAATGTAACGCTAGCAACTTCATCGGAGATAAAAAAAAAAAAAAAAAAAAAAAAATTAAAATGTAATATAACAACACACCACGACCTGCCTTAGGTCTTTCCGCAGACTTGGTAGGTAGTGTGTCCATAGCAGAAATCGAATGATGATGATAATAATAATAATAATAATAATAATAATAATAATAATAATAGCTTCATCGAGATAAAAAAAAAAAAAAAAAAAAAGGCCTAAACAATAATAATGTCTATGTAACGTCATTAATAACAGAAATGAATCGGATAATAAAAAAAAAAAAATTAATAACATAGTTAAATCGGAGATAAAAAAAAAAAAAATTAACATGAGGTAGTTAGCTATAACAAACACCACGACCTGCCTTAGGTCTTTCCGCAGAACGGTAGGTAGTGTGTCCATAGCAGAAATCGAATGATGATGATAATAATAATAATAATAATAATAATAATAATGTCTATGTAACGCTAGCAACTTCATCGGAGAAAAAAAAAAAAAAAAAAATTAACATGAAATGGCCATAAAACACACCACGACCTGCCTTAGGTCTTTCCGCAGACTTGGTAGGTAGTGTGTGTCCATAGCAGAAATCGAATGATGATGATAATAATAATATAATAATAATAATAATAATAATAATGTCTATGTAACGCTAGCAACTTCATCGGAGATAAAAAAAAAAAAAAAAAAAAAATAACGGGAAATGTGATCAAGGCATAATAACACCACGACCTGCCTTAGGTCTTTCCGCAGACTTGGTAGGTAGTGTGTCCATAGCAGAAATCGAATGATGATGATAATAATAATAATAATAATAATAATAATAATAATAATAATAATAATAATGTCTATGTAACGCTAGCAACTTCATCGGAGATAAAAAAAAAAAAAATTAACATGAAATGTTTATAACAACACACCACGACCTGCCTTAGGTCTTTCCGCAGACTTGGTAGGTAGTGTGTCCATAGCAGAAATCGAATGATGATGATAATAATAATAATAATAATAATTAGTAGTAGTAGTAGAAGAATTCACCTTTTTTCTTTTGAAGTTTTCTTTTGATGTTGTTTTCCTGATTCTTCCTCATTGATTACTTCCCTAAGATTGAAGGTTTTACATATTTTTTTTATCCTTTATATTTATGATTATTTTTATTTTTGTTGTTTTGTTGTTGGTTTACATTGATTTTTTTTTACTTTGCTTTTTGTAACCTTTTTTTATATATAAAAGAGCGCAGAGCGATTATACAAGTTTTTTTTTCCTCATAATCTTTCTTTTTCGTTATTTCTTTTTTACTTTTCATTTTTATTTTCTATCCTTCGTCTGATATCTATTTTTTTCTGTCTACTCTTGGCAACCGGTTCTGTTTCAAAAAACTTTCGTCTTACATGTTTCAGGGTCCAATAACATTCCATTAAAAGAAAATCTATTAGGGATTTCAAGTTTTCAAAACTCCCAAGTGAACATTCTTTTTTCTTTATATCATGATTGCTTTCGATTTTCTTTGTTTTCCTCTTGTTTTCAAGGAACTCTTTAGCTCTAAGGTAAGTGAATATAAATAAATACAAACGTACTGACATCACTCAATTTTGTTACATTTCTTATCAATATTCTTTCATATCATTAGCAGTTCCCAAATAGTTGCTATAGTCCTAAATAAAAGACGGATAAAAGATAAACACGATTAAAAATGTAGTTTATTAATGTTTGGAGCTATTAATTTTGAGAAACATTGAAATACTTTAATTTTAAGCATTTTTTTTTTTTGCATTTTAAACATTATCAAGATTAAACTTAATTTAATAATCAAATATAATAGAATATCTTTCAATTTTTCACTAACAATCTTTTCATTTTTCTTTCACATTGGCCAGCATTTTTAACACGGACGTAATCATACCGCAATTTTTCGAAAATAATACGCACCCATAAATAATACGCATCCCAACAAATGATCCAAAAATTAAGTAATATATCTATCTCTATATATAATACGCATCAGATAAATTTTGTCAAAAAAATTACGAAGACATTTTGTCGACCTTGATATTAAGAATAAAGTCGAAACTAAGCGACTAAAATAATGTTTTATTTCTGGTGGCATCAGGAAAAAAACACAGTTGGAACTTATTGTAAAATGGATTCAGGAATCTTGGGATTCCGTCAGTGAGGATGTTATAAAGAAATGGTTTCAAGAAGTGTTTTCTCACGACAGCCATGCATGGCTCTGAAGATGACATCTTTTGGTAAGAGAATGAAGAGGCCAAAGATAATTTTGAACAGGATGAAAATAATATTGTGAGTGATAATTTCTTTAATGACAATTTAGATACTGATTCTATAATAGAAAGTAGTGATGATGATGATGATGATGAAAATTAAAATTTCAGTAAATTGTAAACTTGATATCCTCTTTTTTTTAAAATTGGCCTTTTTATAGATTTTTTTTTATTTCTTCGCCAAATAAAAAAATTTGGTTACTGATAAACATAAATTTTTGACAAAAAATGTTATAATTATTATTGTTGGATTTAAAATAAAAATTGGGATAATATCATCCTTATTTTAGAACAAAATGTACGTATTTATAAATCAATAATGAAAAAAATATTTTTGTTTAAACCTATTTATAATACGCACCCTTACTATCACCTGTAATCTACAGTAAAAATGCGTATTATTTTCGAAAAATTACGATAGGCTGTCACTTCATTTTTCCGTAATATTCTCTCTTCCAGAATTAGCATATTGTTCCAATGCTTTGAACTATTTTGAAGCATAAGGCGTCATGATGTGCGTCAGTTTTCGATTTTTAGAAATTTGGCTCATTTCACAATAATACACATGGGAAAAGCACAAAACCATTTCTTGTCTCTCACTAGTTAAGGGTTAAATAGCAAGATAGAATCTGATTTTCTAGCCTTGAGTGGAAGCCAATTTAGAAATAGGAAAAATTTGAATTCAAAAACCGTGATAAGAGATATGGCATTAAAAAGTACTGTAACACAGCATTTAGTATATAATTTGTAATGTTCTTAAATTTATACTCATGGTTTATATGTCAATAATATTGAATGCAGATTCACAATAAAACTAAAAGAATCTTAGTTAAGTTTGCAAATGAAAGCAATGAATAGGATTATTAACTGTAAAAAGATAGAATGTATGGTTGTCAGCACAAAAGACAACTCATGGCGTGAGCTACACATTGGGGATCTCAAAATTAAACACATACAGATGTGCATTTATCTAGGCCATGCAATAACAGACAACGGAAAACATGACATGAAAATACGAAGGTTCATAGAAATAATGAAGATGCTTTCCAGAACCTAAGCAAAGTAATAAGAAATAGAAAACAACTTTTACGAACAAAGAAAAGAATTCTGAACTGTTGTGTAATATCTAATCTCTTATATTGCATTGAATGCTGGACAATTTCATCAAAGATGAAGAATAAACGCAAAGTGACAGACATTTAGTTCTACTGATGAATATTAAGTATACCATAGACAGAAGATGGAAAGAACAAGGAAATTTTTAAGGAAAATTGGAACTAAAAAGGTACTTATAGGTACGAGAAGAAAAGAGGAAATTGAATTTTTTCGGATATTTAAAAAGGAAAGGGGGCTTGGAGAATTTGACACTCACAAGACATACTGAAGACTATAGAAGCAGTGTTTGATTAGATGGCAGATAGATATCACAAAGAGTCAAGATTTATTTAGAAAACCAGAAGACAAAATTTGTGATGAGCTATAATTTTCTACGCCTTGAAAAATTGCGGCACATGAACGCATCTATTTATGCTGTTTTACACCCAAATTGTATTTGTCGAATAAAATATCTTGGTATATTTAGGTATTGGGTATTCTTCATACCTCATAGTATATTCATCTTGCTGAATACATTCTAGTACACAAGGAGACAATTTTTCATATTATTACTAAGTGTGTGTGTGTGTACTCAATTATATGCATGTGTAAATAAGAGAGAGAAATAGATATATATATAGAGAGAGAGAGAGAAAGAAAGATTGGAGCTGTATACAAACAGTTACTTGTATATGAGTAAAAGAACTAATTTTGTGCGTTTCCTTGAGTGAATCAAAATTCGAAAGGATACAATTTAAGAATTTAATTGGTTTTAAATGTGATCGTCTGCATGCGCATGCGCCTACACAGGTTTATGTGTGTGCGAGTGGTATTAGTAAATGTGTATGTTAATATGAATGCAAATAAATTAATTTTCGTTTGAATACGTTCGACTGCGAGCATGCAAATAAATGCACTAATGTATATGTATATATATATGTATATACGTTGTATGTTTCCTCCACGACCCGGTGATACTACATGTGAGATCTGCAGGGAAGTATGTGAATCGACATGTAGATTGAAGAGTCATATGGTGGTGCACAAGGATGACCTACCATAGCAACACTGTGAAGACTCTGGAGCAGATATGTCATGTATGCTATAGTCCTTGCAAATCAGCTGCTGGTTTGAAGAGCCACCTTCGAAGTCATTCGAGAGGAAACAATGATTTAGATTGAATATAGGTGTTGATAGATATGACAGCAGTCATCTGTGAAGATGGGGCAATCACTATGTACGTATGTCTGCATGTATGTATTGTCGAAGTTTTCTGAAAAATAATTGATGACAAATGATGAGGATGAAATTTTGAAAAATTGTGTAGGATTAGAATCAAACTAATTAAATCGATCGGCCTTTTTATCGTCTGAATTTCGTTGCTTTTTGATCTTTCTTCATTTTGATATTTAATTAAGGGATTGATACTCACTGGATTATAATTCCCTGGAATAGACGGGACGAGAGTAGCAAGAGAAAAATAATCTAAGATGAAAAAGATCGAATTGACAACACTGAAGAGGAAAAGAGATAGAGGGAGAGTGAGAGAGAGAGAGGGAGAGAGTGAGAGAGAGAGAGAGATGGAGGGTGAAAGAGGGAGAGAGAGAGAGAATCTATTATAGACGGGACGAGAGTAGCAAGAGAAAAATAATCAAAGAGGAAAAAGATCAGATTGATAACACTGAAGAGGAAAAGAGATAGATAGATAGATAGATAGAGAGAGAGAGAGATAGAGATAGAGAGAGAGAGAGAAACAGAGAGAGAGAGAGAGTGACAGTGAGAGGGAGAGAATCTGTTATAGGCGGGACGAAATTCGCAAGAGAAAATGACAACACTGAGGATGAAGAGAGGGAGAGAGAGAGTGAGGGAGGGTGAAAGAGGGAGAGAGAGAGAGAATCTATTATAGACGGGACGAGAGTAGCAAGAGAAAAATAATCAAAGATGAAAAAGATCAAATTGACAACAATGAAGAGGAAAAGAGATACAGGGAGAGTGAGAAAGAGTGAGAGAGTGAAAGAGAGAGAGAGAGAGAGAGAGTGAAAGAGAGAGAGAGAATCTATTTTCAAGATAAAAAATGTGGAAGTGATTAATTATTTTTGCAGCAGTCATAGCGATCGCATCGACGATAGTAATAGTAGTTTCTATACATCTTGAGTAAAATAGTAGGGCAAACTCGGTTCTCTAACCTTAATAAAAAAACCAATCTAGAAGAATAGTTGTAGTCATAGCAACCGCAAAATCAATAGTAATAGTAGTTCCCTTTCATCGTGAATAAAACAGTAGAGAAGAATGAATCTTTAGAGAAAACTGTCTTGGAGAATAAAACAGTAGAGAAGAATGAATCTTTAGAGAAAACTGTCTTGGAGAATAAAAACTTTGAAGTTAGAATCGTAAAGAATGTAACAAGAAAACACTCCACGATTTTTCCAAAGAAAAATTATGATAATGTACAGTTTACAAACATTAAAATAAAATGAAGCTGCAGAAAGCCATGATAATCTATGTCCCGAATTAAGATGGCATGAAACTAGTAACAATAATCGAATTATAAGTGTATGACTGGAGGAAAGAAATAGTGTAGACTTGTGTGTAGTAGTAATGTTAGACGTGACACAAGTTTACCTGTATTCTTCAAAAATGACATAATTTTTATGAGTGTATGATTGGAGAAAACGAAGATCAGAGACTGTTGTGGAGTTGTAATGTTAGACAAGCCAATTATTAGTAATTACAAGTTTACCTATATCCCAAAAATGACGTAATTTTAAAATAATTTTGCAGTTGATTTTGTTTATCGATTTAATTCATTCTGTTGTATATAAGAACGAATTGCTTTTTTTAGTCATTAGAGGAAAAATATTCAAAGAAATTTACACAAAACAAAAGAAGGAGAAAGTAGTATCCTAGGAACTTGATCCACCCTCCTTGGTTATGTTAACACGGGGACTGGTCATTTGGTAACAAGTAATACCTCGTGTTATTACGATAACATAATGTCTCATTATCTCAAACAGGATAAGGATGCGTGAATAAAAAATATTAGTCAGTTATGTGTCGTGCGTGATACACGCTTAGGCGATCATGTATATCTTTCGATACATGACTGACGAGGCAGATTTTTTTCCTGCAGTAGGTTGCCATTTTCTTTCTGCGGTAGAACAGTTGCCATCCAAAACCCGATCTATCTTGCTATTTACCAATAGCTGGAGGGAGAAGAAGAGGATTCACACCTTTCCCAAGGGTATTAGCACGTAAGTAAATGTAATGGATTCGACAGGAATTCGAACTCGGCTCTCCAATTCCTCAATCCGTGCTACTATCCATTACTCCACGTGTCTCCATCTAATTCTACTGACTGTATAAACCACAAACTTACATCTATCCTCTATGCAAGTAAATACTGTAAAGACCTCAAAATTACAACAGGCTTATGGCCATATAGTATTAAAACACTGGTTCCCATACGATCACTGAAAAACAACCTCGAGCCTGTAAGCTTGTATGTGTGGATGATGTAATGGATAATGTTTTGGAATTGTTAATCGAAGATTCGAGTTCAAATTTCAGTTGTGTTTGTTATAATTACTTTTGTGTAAAATGGAAAGGTATGATTCCCCCAGCTATGTTTTAATTAGTAAGACTTGTATCTGTAAATCATTATTATTATCTAAAAAACAAACCCTCTTACAATCTAAAAGTAGTTCCTAGCTTTAAATAACCTGAAAAGGGTTGATAAAATACAATCTTTTAGCAAGCATCTACAGATTATATACTCGGCAAATATTTCACACTTCGTAAATATTTAATTAAAAAGTAACATAAAAGCAATTATAACTGCTAAAATTATTCTGAACATTCAGCTATGGCTGATAATAATGCTGATCATAAACATACACAGGTGATTAGACTTTTTTATGTGTCGTGTCCCTTCATGAACTTTGGCGATCAAGGCTCTCCACAATTTCCTGTACTGTGTTACTTTTAATAAGTGTGTCTTTTTGTTATCACTCCTAAGCCATGTAGTATCATCCATTTACACAAGCTATCTAGGTAGGGGTTAGGGTTATTTTCCTCTGTCCCTCTTGTTTTCAATCGGTCAAAATCAGATATCAATATCAATCGGTCAGTATCAGATTTTCAAACACCTCATTCGTTATTATATAGTATAGGAAGTTGTAGAGAGCCTTGATCATCCTACATATGAAGGGACAGATGGGAATTGTAAGAAAGCTATTTCAAATGCACTGGGAACAATAGTAAAGAGACAAAAATTACTAAGAAATCAGAAGGAGAAGATGTTGTAGAGAGCCATGATCATCCAAGCCCTGATGGGGCAGAGGGTAATAGCAAGTAAGCGACCTCATATGGAGTAAGAATAGCAGCAAAGAAAAAACATTAATTAGTGCTACGCACGATAGGATGCTGTAGAGAGCCATGATCGTCCAAGCCCTTACGGGACAGAGGGTAATAGCAAGTAAGGTACCTCATGTGGAGTAAGAATAGCAGCAAAGAAACATCGTCTAAGCCCTGATCGTCTAAGCGACGATAGTCTAAGCCCAGATGTGGCAGAGGGTAATAGCAAGTAAGCTATCTCATATGTAGTAAGAATATCAGCAAAGAAACAAATATTAATTAGTGCTACGCACGATAGGATGCTGTAGAGAGCAATGATCGTCCAAGCTCTTACGGGGCAGAGGGTAATAGCAAGGAAGCTACCTCATATGGAGTGAGAATAGCAGCAAAGAAACAAACATTAATTAGTGATACGAAGGAGAGGATGTTGTAGAGAGCCATGTTCGTCCAAGCCCTGATGGGGCAGAGGGTAATAGCAAGTAAGCGACCTCATATGGAGTAAGAATATCAGCAAAGAAACAAATATTAATTAGTGCTACGAAGGAGAGGATGCTGTAGAGAGCCATGATCGTCCAGGACCTGATGGGGCAGAGGGTAATAGCAAGTAAGCTACCTCATATGGAGTAAGAATATCAGCAAAGAAACAAATATTAATTAGTGCTACGAAGGAGAGGATGCTGTAGAGAGCCATGATCGTCCAGGACCTGATGGGGCAGAGGGTAATAGCAAGTAAGCTACCTCATATGGAGTGAGAATAGCAGCAAAGAAACAAACATAAATTAGCGCTACGAAGGAGAGGATGCTGTAGAGAGCCATGATCGTCCAAGCCCTGATGTGGTAAAGGGGAATTTCAAGTAAGCTACTTCACATGAATTGGGACCAATATTAAAGTGAGCTACGAAAGATAGGGATAGGCAAACCTGATCGCCTACGTAGTGATATGGCACCTAAGAGAATACACTTTTATTTTGCTTGCTATAAACGCAGCTTTTCTATCTTTGTAAAAATTTAAATATGTGGTAAGTTTTTTAACAGTGGATGGATAGTGCGACATCGAGATCCGAAGACGTTTTTGGATGGCCAAAGATGCAATCCAAAAGCTAAGTCGAGTATTAAGAGAAAAGAACATTGAACAGTTACTTTAGAATATATGACAATGAATTCTGTACAATCTCAAAGATGAAGAATGGACTTGAAGAATAAAGTACTGTACTGTTATGTAATATCAGTCCTCCTATATGGCAGTGAATGCTGGACAATCTCCTCATAGATGAAGAAGAGTCTTGAAGCAAGAGAAACAAAGAAAAGTGTACTGAACTGTTATGTAATATCAGTCCTCCTCTATGGCAGTGAATGATGGAAAATCTCCTCACAGATGAAGAAGAGACTTGAAGCAAGAGAAACAAAGAAAGACTACTGTACTGTTATGTAATATCAGTCTTCCTATATGGCAGTGAATGCTGGACAATCTCCTCACAGATGAAGAAGAGACTTGAAGCAAGAGAAACTAAAAAAAGAGTACTGAACTGTTATGTAATATCAGTCCTGCTATATGGCAATGAATGCTGGACAATCTCCTCACAGATGAAGAAGAGACTTGAAGCAAGAGAAACAAAGAAAGACTACTGTACTGTTATGTAATATCTGTCCTCCTATCTGGCAGTGAATGCTGGACAATCTCTTCATAAATGAAGAAGGGACTTGAAGCAACAGAAATGTGGTTCTACAGAAAGTTGCTGTGAATACCTTGGACTGAATATGTGAGCAACGACGAAGAGAGAATGGGAACAAAAAGAAACTTTTACTTTATATCAGGAAGTGAAAGTTGAAATTTCTGTGTCACGTAATGAGGAATGAGGGCTTGAAAAATCTGATATTGACAGGACAGATTGAAAGAAAGAGGGAGAAAAAAAAGCAGACCGTAACATACTTGAGCGGTTTGAGTTGAGCAAATGGATGGCAGAATAGGGTTTGGGACAAATAACAAAAGATAAAACTTATTTAGAGCTACAAAGGACAGGAAGATGTGGAGAGCCATAATCGCTTTCGTCCTGAAAGGACACCTTACGTAAAAGAAGAATCTTCTCTTTTAGCTGTTTGTTGCATTCTTTAACTTTATTGCAATTTATAAATTATCCCTTTATTCAGTCTACGGCGTAGCAGATGAGCTCTTTTATTCTGCTATCGTGCGTTGGAGGATATCGTAAAATTTATTTTTTCTTAATTTTTCTTCCATTTGTGAATTTATTTTTCTGGTGTCACTTCTACTTGTTTTGCAGGATTCACCTGCCAAGCTCAGGGATTGAACCGACAAACACGAAATAAAATAAAACGGTTAAGAAATTTTATTCACTGATTCGTTGTTTACGGCTTATCAGCCCTTTACAGGCTATTTAAAGTCAGGAACTATTTTTAGATTATAAGAGTTTTTTTTTTTTTTAGATAATAATGATTTATTGATATAAGTTTTACTAATTAACTCATATCTGGGGGAAGACGAGGTGGATTCATACCTTTCCCTCTTAAACATAGGTAATTATAACGAATCCAGCTGAAATTGGAACTAGGCTCTCCGATTAACAATTCCGAGCCGTTATCCATTACACCATCTGCACCTCCATGCTTACAGGATCGAGGTTATTTAACTTCGGTGAGCGTAAGTGAAACAGTGTTTCAACACTATATGGCCATAAGCCTCTTGTAATTTTGAAGTCATAACAATTATGGATGTTTCTTTCTAATCATAAGGTATCACA